GTCAATATGTCAAGAAACAAGAAAGCGTCAGAAATAATATCATCCGCAAACTAATAAATAAAAATAAGGAGCACAACCACACACTCTTCCTACTTCTGTCTTAGCAATATGTTTTTCTACCGCCGAGTTTGGAGCACCAGTGTGGGAAAACTCTATTCAAGCTAAAAACATCGATGTTCCGTTAAATAAAACGGTTCGTATAATATATGGTGGCCTGAAACCGACACCTATCGAAGAGGTCTACCCTATAATTAAAATCGTTCTACGGGCTATCAGAAGACAAGTCACGACAGAGATATAACGAAAGAAGTAGGAAACGGATCGAAGACACACCTTGTATTACCACCAAGTTCAGCTAAGTAGACTAAGGCCGTCCGCACATGAAGCTACTAAAAAGAAACTAAAACTAGTTAGTAACTAGAATTACCAACTGTTTAGTGACTGTGACTCGCACACTACGCTACTGAAAATTAATAGAAACTAGTCACTTCTTGCCTGTACCAGTAGCTTTGTTATAGGGTGTTTAAATTTTAACCTTTATATTATATTATTGAGTGTTATTATCTCGTTACAAATGTCTAGTGACTCAAGTGATGAAGATATTATTCTTTATTATTATAATAGCAGACGTAAAATGCAGAAAAAAAGGAGGTATTGGGTTCATCCCTACATTGCAAACAATATAAATTGCAGAGCCTTTGTTGCTGCAAAAGAATTACAAGAAAGTGATGCTAAATTTCTTGCATTTTATAGAATGTCAAAAGAATCTTATTTATATTTAGTACAATTGCTTGTACCTGCTATTCAAAAGACAAATACTCCAATGCGAGAATGTGTTGGGGCGGAAGAAAGGATTTTAATAACCCTCAGGTAAGGTAACATTTATTTAATTTCTTTAAATGAAAACATTCCAAACCATTTCTAATTCTATTTAAACTACTAAATTAGTAACACTTAAGATATCGGTAGCTAAATTAAACATTAGTAGTATTTGTATTCATTATATTTCCTACAAATTCATAATATACTTTTTGTGGATGTTGTGTACTGTGAAGAGACGGGGTATTTCTTGGTATATTGTCCATTAAATCGATGACTTTTCGCTTAAATATTCTTGTTTGGTGGCACGACATCATATTCATATCGGGTAACAAGCTCAACAAAAACATCTTTTATTGGCATCTTGCACAGGATTTACGCTGGCTTCAAGCTTTTGCTTTTTTAATTTTAAATATTCATCGAAGATTACGTAATGTCTTTACGCGAATATTCATTTAACGTTTAGTTGTATAGGCAGAGATATTTTTCCACTTCTTGCACTAATTTTATATTAAACGACTTTTCTACCAATTTCGCCATTTCGCGTGTTAAAATATCACAACAAACTAGAAACTCACTAGAAACTAGTCGCCAAGCGACCTGCACGTCCAGTCTGCTGTCGACTGATCACTGATGCATTAGGGGCCGGTTACCAACTAGTAGCGCTGTGTGCGGATACTGATAAAAATACATGGGCAGTAACTAATAAGCGACTGGTTGGTAACTAAAGTTACCAACTAGTTTCTTTTTAGTAGCTTCATGTGCGGACGGCCTAAGATCTCAAAAAAGCTTTCTGAAAAAATTACGATCCCTTCCCGAAGAGCCAAAGACGCGTCCAATACACCTATGGCAAATGTCAGCTACAAAACATTTTGCCCCCTCAGAAGAAATGGCCGCTGTACACAATTTGCCGTATCCTACTTGGAAAGCGCTAAACAGACTAAGAACTGGCGTTTCACGTTGTGCTAGTAACCTGAAGAAATGGGGGGATACCAGGAGGACGATACCTCTGACTGTGCGGCGGTTCAGAATAGTCACCATCTACTATCATGCACAGAGATGAGAGAGACCTGCATAGAAGAGGACCTATTTTTAGCGAATAACAGGGCTATCTAAGTGGCTACTTATTGGTAATACATAATTTAAAGCTGATGGTGTTCTGGACATGGAAAGTAAGTAAGTATGCTGAAATTCTAAACTGAACTTAACATAAATCACTTAACAGCTGGTAAAAATGGCCGACAGTGAAATAAGTTTTACCAACTTTCATTTCTATACCTCTAAAAAAACAGTTTCTATATAATTTTTTGCCATTTTGATAATCGATTTGATAATCACTTTAATAATCGATTAGATAATCAATTTTATTTTATTATATTTTATAATATTTTATTTGAATTTATTTTATTTTATTAATAAAAACGCATGGGACTACGTTGAATATCGCGTAGTATGTGGTCTCGCGATTTCGTTACGGTTGTACAGTTTGTACTGTTGCTACAGTGGTTACAGTCGATTTTATTTTTTCACACGTCTGTGTGATCCACCGCCGTTCATCGCTCCGTCCGTAGCACACGATAAGGAAGATATGCTTTCCAAAACACGCAACTTTGGTTAATTCCGTTGATCTAGCTGATCCTGTATAATCGAAAACAATTTTAAATTGCAGACATATTTAATGTACATCAGCTTTGTTATAGTCATCTTTTTAAATACTCTATTATAGTTTATATAACAATAAAACACTGAATAGTTTGTTTTCAAACTTCCACAAAATTTATTTTAAATCTTATCACTACAGCTGTTTCGGCTGATTGCCTTTCTCAAGTGATCTATTTTTGGCTTGAGTTTACAAATTTACAAGTAACGGTCGAATCCATCAATTATTTAAAAGAACTCAGTACAGGACTTTTGACCATATTGTTTTCAAGATTACATCTGAAACGTAGACTGGCGACACAAAACATCTGGTTTTTAAATATGTGCTACAAAATAAAGTGTTCCCGAAATATATTCAGTTAAAAACCAAAACCACAGCCCCGCTGCACAAAAAGAAATTCATCACGGTTAGAACAGAAGGCTTAAACAAGACAGAAAATACCAATATAAGAAGCGAGATATTATAGCTGTTTATCTTAAGGTATGTCATTCAGAATTAAATTATAGATTAAATAATAAAGAATTTTACATCCTATATTCTAACGTGAGAATTAATATAGATAATATAATAGATAAAAAATTCAATACACAGTGTAAAAAACTAAATATTCTAATTTCCAATAGTAAAAAACCCAATATTCATTATACAAAAAGTTTTTCGAACCATACTTGTTTTCAATAGATTTATAAATTTAACAGATACTAAATTTAGTAACAGCGAGATACAACTTTTAGAGAAAGGATTTAAACACAACTTGCCCCAACATAATAATGAGAGAACTTTAGAATATTTAGGTGTATAATGTGAAGTAGCGTTAAACAAAACTGCTAACAATATCGAAAAAAGTATAATTGCCAAATATATTACAGATGTGTGTAGTGAAACTAAGAGTTCCTGTTACAAAGAGAATAAAACAGCAATTTGAATTAAAAATAAATTAATAGAAAACAACATTGTGTTTCCAAAAGCAGACAAAGGTAACACTACTATTGCTATAGATAAAATAGAATTTAATAACAAAAGAATAGAATTCTTAAATAATCAAAATATTGAAACTTCACACAAAGATCCGACAGAAAAATATCAAAAACAAATTAAGCTAGCGTTAGAAAATTCAAAATCAATACTAAATCCAATAGAACAGAAATACCTCAATATCATGAACCCACAGCCTCCTAAATTATAGTCTTTCATTAAACTACACAAACCGGATCACTCAATAAGACCTGTAGTTTCTTTTTATACAGTTCTGTCATATAAAATTTCAAAAAAACTGTTAGAGATTGTTTTAGAACACACTAAATTTTCACCTAAATTTACCATAAAAAATACAATAGAACTAGTTAATAAAATACAACATTTTCAAGTACCTAACAACTCCAGATTAATTTCGTTTGACGTAAAAAATCTTTTTCCTAGAATCCCTCCTGCAGAAACTTTTATTCTAGTATAAACCTTTTAGACCAAAATAGTACAAATCCAATAATTATATCTGAAATTTTACATCTTCTTGAAGTTTGCATAAACCAGGACTACTTTGAATTTAATAATAAAATATATACAAATGACAGTGCAGGACTTATAATGGGTAATCCTCTAAGCCCATTGCTATCAGATATTTTTATGGATCATCTAGAGACAAAGATTTCAAAACATCCCGTATTCAAACAGTTTTTATATTGGTGGAGATACGTAGACGACGTACTGGTATGTTTCACAGGAACTAACAGGCAACTTGACCAATTTTTATCGTATATTAATTCACTTCATAGTCATATTGAATTTACAATAGAAACAGAACAAGATCAATCCATAAATTTTTTAGATTTAAAAATTAGCAGACTTCAAAACAAACATGACTTCTCCATATTTCATAAACCTACCCATACTGTCACGACTATACACAATTCATCATCCCATCCAACACAACATAAACTGGCAGCTTATCATTAATTACTATTTAACTGGGAATAAGCCACAATTAAAGATAAAAATACGTTTATTGACGTTTTAGTTTCCATTTCGGAAATCGTTCTCAAAATAAACGTATTTTTATCTTTAGTTGTGGCTTATTCCCAGTTAAGTAGTAATAAATTTTGTGGAAGTTTGAAAACAAAGTTTTCAGTGTTTTATTGTTACATAAAATGAATTTTCATCAAGTAACGGTCGAATCCATCAATTATTATAGTTTAGCTTAAAAAAAGAAAACTGTAGGTGTTTCGCACTCGGTATATATTAGAAAAATTAATAAATAAAAAGATCTAAAAGGATCATTATTCCACTTTTGTTCTTGACTGATATTGTTAAAGTAAACTTTGTGCAACAAACTTGTTTTGATAAAGGTATAAATATAAATTATCTTATAGCAGTTGCTGCAACGATTAACAGATTAAAAGAAAACAACAATGAGCAAATGTACGCAATTGGCAACTCTTTACTGTTACTCGTTTATTTTCATTCAAATACAATTTACCAATTAACTACCTCTGATATATAAACGGGGCATATCATAGACACCATTAAAGATAAATATGTTGTTAGTATTATTACTAGTGCTTCTAATAACTTTGTTGTTTGTTTTAATACAGCGGAGATATAGTTATTGGTCTAAAAATGGCATACCAGGCCCAACGCCTTTACCACTTGTTGGTAATTTTGGAAAAAGCTTTATTGGAAAGAAGTCGGCTGGTGAAATTGTAACTGAAATTTACAGGTATTCTTTCTTTTTAAACATAATATCTTATAAGAGCTCGTAAAATAAATAGTAATTAGATATTTTAACTAAAATAATAATCTTTGTATTGAACGTGATACCCTGTAAGTTTTTCGTATTATCACCAAGTTGCTTGAAAATTTGGATGTAGCGTCTACTTACCGTCCCATTACTTTTGAAATTGTGCCAATAGTTGCTTTTTATCTATTTGGGGTGAAAACTACCACTATTAGAAAAAACTCGTTGAATTGTTAATTAAAGCGGGAAATTAAATTATCCACTGTATTTATCTGGTATTTTTTTATTTTCTTAATTTATCTGGTAACTGAAAACCAGTTTCCAGCTGTTCTCCGTGTGTAGAGGTTTACTCCCCGGCTCTGGAACTCACTTCAGCAATGTATGTTACCTGAAGTCATATTTAATTTAATACTGAACATCACAGTTTTTTAACAACAAGATGTATAATCTTTTAGAACTATATGTAATTTAAAGGGTTTTTACCCATGTATTTTGTTGGCTCAGGCATTTTAACCTAGCAATTGTAAAATTTAAACCTGATGATGGACTGTCTAGTCCGAAAACGTTTGTTTTTTTTATGTAGCCCTTTTAAGGGTTTTTAAATAAATATACCCACTTACGAAGACTAACCTCTTTTTGTGATATGTGATATACAGCCTTCTTCTTCTTCTAGTTCCATGACCGTTATCGATCGTTGGATATCATGTTGGCTACCATATTCGCTATCGTGACTTTATTGACAGCAGCTCTAACTAACGATGTAGTTGATTTTCCATACCATTGCCTTAGATTTTTCAGCCATGATGTTCTTCTTCTACCAGGACCACGATTACCTTGGATCTTTCCCTGAATGATCAGATGTAAAAGATCATATTTTTCAGGGTGTCTCATACTATGACCGAAGTATTCCAGCTTGCGTTTCTTTATTATATTGACCAGTTGTGTTGTTTGGTTCAGCCGTCTAAGGACCTCCTCATTTCTAACTCTGTCGACCCAGCTTATTTTCAGTAGTCGTCTGTATACCCACATCTCAAAGGCTGTCAAGCGTTTAAGCATAGCCTCAGTTAGGGTCCACGCCTCTACTCCATACAGCAGGACAGAAAGATGTAGCAAGATATCATACGAACTCTAAGGTCAATGCTAAGATCGTGACTGCAAAGTACGTTTCTCATTTTTACAAAGGCAGCTCGGGCTTGTTCTATTCGGCTTTTAATTTCTGCGGTTGGATCCCAGCTCTCATTGATATTACTGCCGAGATACACGAGTTTCGCTACTCTGTCCAGTGTGGCATCTCCGACTTTTATACCGTCATCATGTATATAATTTTGTTTGCTAACTATCATATATTTAGTTTTCTTAACGTTGAGTTTTAATCCATACTGATCACAAGTCTGTTTTATTTTGTTCATTAGATTTTGAAGGTCTTCTCCGCAATTGGCAAGGACTAAGGTATCGTCGGCATATCTAATATTGTTGACGGTTACTCCATTCACAATAATACCTTCGGTTGTCTTTATTAAGGCTTCCTTAAATATTTCCTCCGAATATAAGTTAAAAAGTAAAGGCGACAATATACAGCCTTGTCTCACTCCTCTTTTTATATTTATTTTATCCGACAGTTCTTGTTCAACCTTTATTCTTGCCACTTGATGCCAGTATAGATTTGTAATTATTCGTAGATCTTTATCGTCCAATCCAGCTGTTTCCAATATTTCTAGCATTTTGTTATGTCGGACTTTGTCAAAAGCTTTTTCAAAATCGATTGCACAAATATACACATTATGATTTATATCTCTGCATCTCTGTACTAGCACCTGTATACTAAACAAGGCTCTCTTGTACCCAAGCCACTCCTAAACCCAAATTGAGTATTGCTAATTCTGTCCTCTAACAGCGTGTAAATTCTGCTGTGTATTACTCGCAGAAAGATTTTCAAAACGTGACTCATCAGACTTATTGTCCGATAATCACCGCATGTCTTTGGACGATGTTTCTTAGGTATTGTGAAAAATGTCGACTTTAACCAATCAGTTGGTAATATCCCAGTGTCATAAATTCTGTTAAAGAGATTACACAGAGCTTTAATTCCATTTTCTCCCAAAAACTTTAGTATTTCAGAACTTACTTTATCGGGCCAAGTGCTTTTCCATTTTTTGCCGTTTGTATTGAACGTCTTAGCTCACTTTCTGTTATAGATGGACCTGATATAGCAATCGGTGAATAGTGTTCTACTCTCTCATCTTCAAATAATTCAGAAATGTAGTTTTCCCATTCTTTTAACTTTTCATTGATGTCTAATATTCTGTGTTCGTTTCTGTCTTCTAAACTTTGGGATACTTGTTTCCATTTGTTTCCAGCGACCTCTTTCAATTTCTTGTGCAGATGAAATGTATCGTGTTTCTTTTCATATTGTTGAATTTCATTACATTCTTTACTATGAAATTGTGTTTTCGCGTGTCTTATCTTCTGCCTGATTATTGCGTGGATCCTCTTGTATTCGTTTTTATCTTTATTTCTGACTTCTGTTCTTTGATCCATAAGTCTCAGTACTTCTTCTGTCATCCACCCTTGTTTTTTTCTTGCTTTTAGCGCACTCAATTTTGTTTCTTGAACAGTCTTTAAGATGTCTTTAATTCTCGTCCAGTTTTCCTCAGTACTTTTTTCTTTGCTTGATGTTAACTTCATCTTTTGTTCTAATATACTAGTTATTTCTTGTTTTACAGTATCATTTAGCATCGTTTCTCTATCAATAGTAACTGTTTGCTTATTCGTCCTTGCAACTCTTTTTAATCTCAGTCTTATTTTTTCGACTAAAATATTGTGATCTGTTGGTATATCTGCCCTGGATATGTTTTTACTGATAATACTGAATTTCTGTATCTCTTATTTATACATATGAAAATCTATTTGGTTACGAAAAACTCGTTCAGGTGTATCTGCTGGTGATTTCCAGGTGTAAAGACGACGTTTTGGAAGTTTGAAAATTGTGTTCATTATTACTAATTGCTTTTCTACGCAAAAAGATATACAGCCAGCTACAGGAATTGTTTTCCTTGTGGATTTTTTTAAAAATGCATGTTTACAAATTTGGCTCCACTCTGTGTTAACCAATACAAAATAGTCAAAGGATAAAGTTCTTTGTGATGCTTTTGTTTAACGAGACCCTCTCTTTTGTTTTCGGTATTCGATATACTTATTTATCTTGTAATATTAAAATAATAACAGAAATATTTTAAAAATCAACTAGTAATTACATAGTTAATAGTAGGTTCATTGGACCTACACCGAGTAACGTCATTCGGGTCGGTTGCGTCTCTGATGAAGGTCTAAGTGATCTTGTATTTCGGGGTTTTGTTATCGAGTATTACCTTAAAATTTGTCTTTTCAAGTAACAATGTATCACTTAGACATTTTAATATTATTTGTTGCAGAAAGTATGCAGACTATCCCTTTGTTGGTTTATACCGTACAGTAACACCAATGTTATTAGTTAGAGATCCAGAGTTTATTAAACATATTTTGGTCCGAGATTTTAAACACTTCCAAGATAACGACATTGAAGTAGATTTGAAAGTAGATAAAATTCTTGGAAGAAATCCTTTCTTGATGAAGGGGGCTGGCTGGAAACAAAAACGATCTCAATTAACAGCATGCTTCACTTCCGGAAAGGTAAGGTTTAATTATTTAATTTTTTATGTAAAACATTATTGTTTTGTATTTTAAAAAACTATTTCCGAAATGGAAACCAAAAAAAGAAAGAAAAATAAGTTTTAATCTGATTTTAGTGATATTTTTTGAGCTTAACCAAAATACAACTAAATAAAATAAATTATGTAGTTAAAACCAACCAAAGTTTACTCAAATTTATTAATATTCAAAAACAATAAAATCAGGCAAATTCAGAAAACTATTACTTTACTTTACCTAATCAGAAGACCCATTTGTATCTTTCGGCGTTGGGCCAATTCATTAAATTACAATTTTTAACAATCTGAGGTGTCCTTGCTCAACGATCTTTCTTCTTTCCTTCCTATTGGATGCCATCTGTGTTGCTTCCTGCCAAGTCTTACCCTTACTCTGCAGTATCACTGTTCCATTCTTTAATAGGTCTTCCTCTTCTATTCTTCCCTATTGGTTTGGCATCCCACACTCTTTTTACTAGTCTCTTATTGTCTATTTGGGTTGGATGCCCGAACCATGCCAATTTTTTCTTCTTGATTAAGTCGAGTATCGGTTTGATTTTGAGTCTTTCTCTTATTTCTTCATTTGATTCCATTAGTTCTTTTTACTTCGATCGTTCTTCGAGCCCACAAATTTCTTTTTGAAGTTTTTATTGTTAACTGAGCTTTAGCTTAAATTTTTTTAAATTCTATTTGAATGTTTAGTGTTTTGTGTCTTTTGTATTTGTTAAAGATTTTTTTGGAAACTTCCATCGATGTCTTACAGTGTTTATTCCATCAAGGAACTGGTTTGTGTTTTGTAACAAGTGCAGTTTTTTAATGGTTACCTCGGCTGCACCTAAGATGATGCTGAAGAAGGTTTCGAGACTTCACAGACATCGAGTCTGTGTGAATATTGTCAGATATTTTACAGTTTGTGGCATGTTTTTCTATATCTTTAAATAATGTCCAATTTGCTTCCTTCGTTTTCCACTTAGAGGTGTGCTGTCCATTTTTGGACTTGAACAAGTTATTGGTGATTATTATTAGGCAATGATCACTGTTATATATGTATTTTAATCATTTCTCATGTCGTTAATGCAGACAAGGTATTATCCGTTATCGTTAAGTCCAAGGGCGTTGATTCGCTTGTTTGTATACTGAATCTTGTAGGGCGTCCATCATTCAACAGTGATAATAATACTCATCTAATAATTTTTTAATAATAAGTCTTCTTTTGTCATCATAATTGTAGAACCCCAAATACTGTTGTAAGCATTAAAACCACCATTAAAATACGCGAAAGTATTTGTCTCACGATGATAAAAAGGTCCTGTTTATCAATTAGTTGTCCTGGGGGTAAGTAGATCGTGCAAATATTTATTCTTTTGGTCCCTTCTGGAGAAATAGCTACAGCTTCTAAATGTATTTGTAGGGATAACCTACTTGCGGATAATTTGTTATTTACAAGAATTGTCACTCCACCGCTTGCTATTCTTTGGTTTACTCTATTTTTGAAAAACTTTGATGCTTATGTAAACAAGATTCTTGGTTGCTCTTAAGTTTCGTTTCTTGAAGACAAATAATATTTGGCAGATACTCAGATTGTAGAATTTTTAACATCGGTAAGTTATTACAGTAACCGTTTATATTCAACTGAATAAGTGAATTAAAAGACGTTTTACTTTCTAGTTGTAAAAAAGTTTTAATTTTATTAAGACTCTGGATCTGTATCAAGTAAAAGGTTATTTTCGTTGTCGGTAGAAGAGAGTCCGTCATTTAGTTGTTTTGTGATTTTTTGTCTAAGTTCGGTACATTTAATTTTAAGAGATCTATCTCTTATGTAATCCAGAAAAATCATGTGTATAATTAGTTATAGTGGTGATAATATTTGGAGAGCCTGGTAAGTTTTCTAACAGATCCATAAATTGGTGGTGATTAAGGATAGATGGTGGTGAATGTTCATTTAATATTGTTTTTATGTGAATATCAGAACTTTTCTTGCGTTTTTTGTTGGGTTTTTGTGTAGGTTTTCTAAAATTTATTTCTGTTTCTTTGTCTTTTTCTGACACAGCTGGTGTATATATTGGTGAAGGTGATAGAATTTCATCTATGTCACGTTTACGGTTTGTCTAGAGTGATAGTAATATCTAGTGATCTAGCGCTGTTATTTTCTGTAGGTGTAATTGTATTGGTAACTGAGGATGCTTTTGGTTCGACATGTTCAGGATTTGTACTGTTTGTTAAGGAAGTAGATTGCTTATTGGTAAGTTTTTCTATGGTGTCCATTTGTGAAGGAGTGTTTAAAGACATTTAAATAGTTGAAGGTGTGGGTGATTGTTGAGAGTTTGTGGGATTTTTATAGTTATTAGCATAATGTCCTTGCTGTTTGCAGTTAAAGCATAACTGATTATCTTCGAATAAGAAAATTTGATAGGATTTGTTATCGTAATTAATCAAAAAAGATTCTGGTGAAGGATTTCTAACAGGGTTGATAAAAACTTGTCTTCTAAAACTGTAAATATGATTGAATTTTGGTAAGATAGAGCTAATACAAAGAAAGGTCATTAATAACATTAGCTTGAGACCTAAGTTTTCTAATTCGTGAATAAAAATATCATGGAGAATTGAAGGGGCATACATTTGATAGAACTAACCTATCCGCTGAAGTAGTATATTTTCTAGATTAAACTGGTTAATCATTGATTAGCATTGCACCATCCTGTGCCTGCATAAAGTTATCCACAATTTCTTTGCTTGCTAGATATATGCATACTCGATTATTGGACAGCCTTGAAGAAAATAAGATGTTTTTGGGCTGTGTAAGTGCTCCTAGTGGTATAAGGTAGTCCTGTAGGCGTAATCTATCCTTTGAAGAGAAAACCATCGTTTGTTTAGGACTAGGGTATGTTAGCTCAATAGCGATAAGAGTACAACTAGTTTTTGGTTAATTTGTAACTACAATTATTGATGAGAAATATGTTATTGATGTCTAAAAGTGATATTTCTAATCAAACTATGATAAGGTAATTGGAAAAAAGTACTTACGGCACTTACCAAATCACTGTAAACTTCTTTGATATATCAGTTTTAATTATTTAAATTATACTTTTTCTATTAAAAACTATAAAAGTTGTGGAGTCGACTTCCATGCCTGACATTCAGGGCCAGAATCCTGTTCTTAGTTTTCTTAGAGTAAATTGGACTAAATAGTTAATAGAGAAAGATCTGTCAGGTCTAATACAATAAAATAACCGCTATGATTTTTTTAAAGCTTTTGGGGTGAATCTAATGTATAGAAAGAAGAATACAACAAATTTTTTAATTGTTTATTAAAATATTTAGCAATATTGTTACAATATAAATTATTGTTTTTAGATAAAAGGCATGTACCAGTATCTTGAAAAATCTAGTCAACAAATGGTCCAATATGTAGCAAATGAAATTAGAAATTCGAAACCTCTTGAAGCAAGGGAAATATTTATAAGGTTTACACTTAACAATGTTGCTGCTTGTGCCTTTGGGCTAGAGGGTAAAAACTTTGAGCAACCGTATCCATATTTTCGAGAATTGGCTGACAATTTTATGTCACCTCAAAGTTTAAAGTCCAAAATAAAATGGGCACCCTTCTTCTTATGTCCAGAAGTTTTAAAGTATTTTAAATGGAAGTAAGTTTTAGTATATTAATTATTAAGTAGCTATTTATTTGAAACTTTTTATGTTTAGAAATGTAACATTAAATTTTACTTTGACAATACTTTCGCTAGATTTTAATATCTCTGTTCTGTCACTCCACACATATTTTTATTTAGTATTTTAATAAATATTTCTTTTTATATTTACTTAATAAACAAGTGTGTGTTTCCGATACGTAACCAATAAGGCTCTGTAGACACCGCACCTAGCATACATAAGGGATGCAAAACTATTTCGGCGAACACACACACTCAGTCTTTGTATAACCAAAGCATGATAAATAGATTAATTTTATGATAAACAATAATATAATGTGAAATGAAAAAGACAGTAAAGATTAGATTTCACGTACAAAGCGTCTATGTATCTGTTTATACTTATTTCGGCCTAATAGGCCTCATCAGAACATCTATTCATAGGCGTTCCCAACGTGAGAAATAAATCTTTTCTGTCTTTAAGAAGCAACATTAAATTTTGCTCAAATAAAATCCAAAGAACATCAATATCAATATAATTAAAACACAATTTTTAATAAAACCACTTTATTGCCACCATATTGTGGCCATACCATCAAGTAAAAAGACAAAAGAGGGAATCTAATCCTTATGAAAAGGAGACCAAAAAAGTGGCCTCTGATGGCGGACATATCCGGAAACGCGAATGCGCCAAATTTAAATTTTTAGACACTTATTAACAGTAGCTGTATAATATTTTTCATAATGTATCTTAGACGAGAAAGTTTAATTAATTATTAACGATAATAGTCTAAAATGCGACACAATTGTTAAAAAACTTCAATATAAATAAGATTTCATGTGACATTTGGGACAACAATAACATAACCCAACTAAATTTGATGTCAAACAGGAGAGAGACTCTCTTTCCTTGTTTAATGTGGCCTCTAAAGATCGCACTTTCTGTCTAACAATATTTTTGCCCCCACTGCCTTTACATTTCCTCTTTTGTCGTTTTGCTCGATGGACCATAACCAATGTCGTCATGAGATCTACTTGATTACTTGGATCGAAATTATATTTGATTTGTGTGAATCCCAAAGATTTGTGAGTTTCAGTAGTCAGATGTAAAAAATAGTAAACTAAAATTATTATACTACTGCTCAACAGAGAGCGCTGAAATCATTCAGGTTCTATTGTCATTGAATATATTATGAGAGTAGAATATAATATCCAGTTATTGTATTTAATTAATGATGCAAATTTAATTTACCATTTAAAAATGTAATCCTCTAAAATACGCACCAATTTTCTTCTCCAACTTATAAAAAATTTCCCAGACTCTTTTAAATGGGATCTAAACAAAATAATGTCAACATAAATATTTTACTTAAAAATAAATTGGATAATGCAATTCATCTTTTATTTTTACTACCATCAAAAAAATTATGTAGGTATTACTTTTAACACGTTTGTATATTTGTATAATAGATACATTTCATTATACTTCTTGTATAGGTCTGTCGTTTTGAAAACGTAGGAAAATCCTTAGAGATTCCTATTCGTAATCGCTAATTCGATATTCATAGTCCAGAGCCTTATTTTTGTTAATCAGAAAAAACCATTCACCCACTTTCAGTGTCAAGACGTCAAGAGTAAAGTGTGAAAAATAGATGATGTACCATATTACTTCTTATGTAAATATTATGATTACAAAAACTTTTACAACGAAATATTGTCATAAAACTTAATTGTTTCTGGCTGAGGTGAGTTTGCACTTTCAGTTTGTTTCTGTATTTATAAAATTTAAATTATAGTTTTGTTTGGAATAATTACTTGAGAATAGTAATTATGATTGGGATCCAAAATAATACCTAACCTAATCCTAATCACCGTTAAAACCTAATAACCGGTTTTTACTTTAAAAATAAAAAAAAGTTATAACCAGACAAAAAAAAACAACCGATAAAACCGGTTCTTGCGAAGTAAAAACCGGTTTCCGGTTAAAACCGGTAGGTTTTTTTCATTCCTATTTTGTAGGGTAAGTACTTATTGGACCGATTTACACGTTTGCTTTTAGACTGTTATTTTAATCGAGAAAAGTTGGTGCATAAATTAAGCAAGCTCGGAACCTCATCAAAAATATATAAGAATAATAGTTTGGGGAAATCTTTAAGCAAAATTACCAGTCATAGACCAGTATAACATATCTACTAGCGCAGACACAAAGAGGAGTTCGTTAGATAGTCACAAACCGTACCATTTAATTAATATTTAGAACAGATATTTAAACAGTCAATAAAGGATATCCGGAAAGACATTAATTAAAAAGTGAAGCCGTAAACTACATTATTTTATAGGTCATATCACGTAATAGCAGCCTATTTACGTTGGCAGAGCATAATTGAAACGTCATCTCACAAACTACAGACTAATACATTTGACGTAAGTAATAATGATTTTGAAGGGAATTCGACACATTCTAAACGCTTAACTCAGGACGAGTTAAATGATTCTATTAGAAGTTTAAACGTTCTCATAGAATCTTCCGAGCTGCTTGTCTTCAGACTATAGGTAAAAAATCTTCTTCATCCAGGCACCAAAATTGCATACTACCGTAAAGAAAAAAATATCTTTTGTTGTTTTTTGCAGGAGTATGATTTTTGTAACAATAATAAAGGACTGGTAAAGTAAATCGGTATATCAGAGTATACACCAGATCAATGGCGTTTGTTTATCGACAGTTTCAAACAAAGTTTATAGTGTATCCTTCTACATAATGGCAACCAATACGAAAGTATAACAATTGGCATTCTATAGTTTATTTTTATGAACGAGAGAGTAATTAGCATAATTTTAACTGGTACCTTCGACCACTCCATGGCGTGCTCAAGATTAATTGAAAAATTACTTTGAATAATTGTAAAAAATAAATGAATTATTTCAGTGTTATAAAGTGTTATGTGTATGTAAACAAAAGTTTTTAAAACCGTCTAAGGTATGTTAAATAGATGAATAAAAATATTAATATAAAACTTACAGCTACTTGTTATAAATCCAAATCAGATTCAGAAGATGAACTTTCAGAACCAAGATTTATAATAACTGGCTCGATCATTTTATCTGTAATATTGTCCAGTTTCCACAATTTTTCCTCTTCTTTAATATTGTGATTTACTGCCTTTTCCCAGTTTTCAGGTTTTACATTATTTACGGCCTCCAAAAACAACTGTTTAATATCATGAATTTTAAAAGTGGTATTTTTTCTTGAAACTTCACTCTTTATCTGTGCCCATACCAGTTCAATCGGGTTTAATTCACAATGATATGGTGGGGATCTAAGTACTGTCATTCCACGATTTTTGGCAATTTCATCAATTTCGTATTTTTTAAATTTTTCTTTATGAAGGGCACACAACGAATAAAGTTCCTTTCTTATAGATCCGGGATGGTACGTAATATTTTTGAACTTAGCCAATTCTGCAAGTCTTTTTTTAACCACTTGGTTGTAGGCAGTCCTTCTATAAGTCTGGAGTGATAACTTGCATTATCCATTACTATTACACAGTTCTTAGGAAGAAGATCTATCATTTGTTCGAACCATTCTTAAAAGACATCAGCGTTCATGTCTTCATGGTAGTCACCGGTACGAGTTGATTCAAAAGTTAATAAACCACCTTCAAAAAAACCGTCTGAACTGCCAATGTGTACTATTATCAGCCTGCGTCCCTTTCCTGATGGTTGGTTTAAACCAGTAGATAAGTTATCTACAAAAGCGTGCCTTTGACTTGTAACAGTTTCATCCTGTCAAAATTTATTTGGTGTATGACCCTCGTTGATCCATGTTTCATCAAGATAAAATATTTTTCTTTTTTGGTTTCTCATTTCCTTTATGGTTCTTAGAAAATGTCTTCTCCATATGACAATATCGCTTCTTTCTAATAAAATAGACTTTCTGGGATTCTTTTTCCAGCGGAAGCCTATTTCTTTTAAAAGTTTCCATAACGTACTTCGACTCATTTCTGGGTAATCCTTATCATCTCGAACTGAGACAAGAACTTTATCCAATGTTGGAAATTCTTGTCTAAAGAAGAATTCATGCACTTTCCGTCGAAGTCCTTCTTTAAAATGATATTCTTTTTGAAATTTTGGTTTCCCTGGAGCATTACGTGGCATTTGAAAACATCCACATTTCTCTTCTTTAATAACTCTGTAAATCGTAGATTTCCCAACACCAAGTGTACTGCTAACTAACTCAACGGTCTCATCAACACTTTCACATAAACGTTTGTCTGTAAATGATTTAAAACAATTAAATATTAATGTTTTTTCATTAACTGTTAAAGGACCAATTTTTCGGCGTTTACACGGCACTTCCAAATTTTCCATAACACTAGTATACACAATAAACTACACCTTGCAACTGAAGTACCTACTTTTAGTGAACTGTTAAGAATTTTGAATACGCCACTTGGACGTTCCTACAAAATGGAAAAACACACTATCACATTTTCTGTGGAATAAGTTTAGAAGGTAATTATCTAGTCAATTACTATCGTAGATTCCTGGAATTAAAGAATTAAATGTTTGATTGTTGAAACCCTTACTTCGTGGAATGCACTCATTTCAGATAAAATAAAACGTTTTATTTTATCTAAAGAATTAAACTTTATTTTGCAAATAGGTAGGTACTTATTAAACTTTTATTGGTTATATATAACCAATAAAATAAACATCTTACATTTCTTGCAAATTCATTAGTACCTGTTAACCTCCATCACTCCGACACTGGCAACCTTATTTAGGGATTAGTAACCCTCACAACTATTGTATTCTATTCTGCTCCAACCTTTATACCTGGTGGTCATACTCAATTAAAATTATTTTCCTATATACTTCTGTAAACTTGTTGACAAATATCTGTTTTTCATTGAGTCACCCGTATCAACAGTTTAGGGATTTGCATACATAATTTATTGTTTTATTACTCTCTCATACATAACAATTAGGCATTCTAC